AACTGACTCGTATGAGGACTGACAATTGTATGGTGGAGACTGGAGCTGATTAGGCTCCCCAAGTCATGCTCTGATGGTTTCAGATAGGTATCCGTTTTAGTCTGTAGCAGCAAAATAAAACAGAAGTCCAGTGGCACCTTGGAGGCGGACAAAATTTCTACAGTGTAAGCTTTTGTGAGCCAGAACTCATGTTACCAGATGTACAGAATGTACCTTTGTTGTGTGTCAAGTGCCGTCAAGTCACAGCTGACTTGTGGTGACCCTGTAGGGTTTTCAAGGCAAGAAACGTTCAGAGGTGGTTTGCCATTGCCTGCCTCTGCATAGTGACCCTGGACTTCCCTGATGGTCTCCCCGTCAAATACTAACTAGAGCCAACCCTGCTTAGCTTCCAAGAGCAGATGAGATTGGGGTAGCCTGGGCCATCCAGTAAGGGCATACCTTCATTAGGCTAATGCTTTTATGTTAAAGGCTGCAGTGGCTGATCGGTTTTCAGTTTAGCTTTCCTGTTGGCATGAACTGCACTTCCTATTGTAGGGCTTGCCTCATTTTTTCTTCTTTATGCTTTAGCGCATGCCAGGAAAGAATGAATAGTTTCAGCAGCAGCCCTGTTCTTACATTGATGTACAGCTATGAAAGTGCAGACTAGCTCATATTAATGCAAATACAGCACTTTACACATTTGGCAAGGTCAGGGTAATCCTGCTATGTGGCTAGTTGCTTGCAATCATTCATAACAGGGTTCTGCCAAGTCTGATGTGCAATAATGTACAAGACTTGATGGTGGCCAGAATTATATAATGCTGCCTAAACTGGCTTCTGTTGCTCTTCTTTTCTTCCCCGTTGAGAGCTGAACAACTTTGTGCTCTGTGGCATCTAGTAATAGGGATCTTGCAAGTATAGAAATAGTGGTATACATTCCTTCAGTGCTGTGACTCTCTGGACAGTGCACAATGTTCCCTTTCTGGATGTAACCCCACACAATGATGCAATGCATGTTGGTACATGATGATATGCTAGTCAGCATGCCCTTCATAAGCACTTGCTGGCCAATAAAATTGGGCAGCTAAGCATTTTATTTCCCAACCATTATTGAGTAAAACTATTTATTCAGAATATGTATATGCCGCCTCTCCAGAGGCCTTCTCAAGATGGCTTAGAACTACAGCACCACTGTTCCAGTTGGGTAGCACAACTAAATGTAGTGCTTTCCATGATAATTGCAAAGGGGAGAATCTCCAATTCATGAAAGCTAATGCTTGAATAAATATTAGCCTTTAAAGTGCCACTGGGCTCCTGTTTAATCAGAACGACAACTGTAGTTTATATAATCATACCCTTTCCTTTCATTCCAGTGGAGTAGGTTAATAATCAAGAGTCTTTACTTTACAAATGGGGATTTCATCCAAATGAGAATTGTCCAGTTTCCACAGTATCCAGTGAACAAACCACATTGACTCTCATGTATGTAGGTTATAAATTGTTCAGAGACATAGAGCATTAAGGCTTCTTGTTCTTTAATAGCAAACTGCTGCTATAGAATATTAGTTTATGTGTCATAGATTTTTCAGCTCTGCTTTATGAAATTTAAGGAAGCTCAGACTATATTAGATAGTTGAAGCAGTTCTCATAAGACTGACATTTTTTTTTTGCTTTACTCTTGAGTTAGCCCCCCAATAAACAATTTTAGACTTAAACAAGAGGCGGGACCTGCGATACTCTCGGGGGGGGGAGTATTCCCCACAGCTCTCGGCCTGCAGAAGCGGCAGCAGGTGAGCCCAGCCTTCTCCCCCCTCCCCCCCTTACTTAACAAGGAGGAAGTCGCTGCAGGTAAGCCTTCTTCCCCGCCCCTGCCTGGCCCCGATGGCAAGGCCCATACGGCTCTGAGCTGCTGGGCCTGCCAAACCTCCCCCGGGCACCCCCCCCGGCAATGGCGGTGAGGCCTATGCGGCTCCGAGCTGCCGGGCCTGCCAAACCTCCCCTGCCTCTCCCCACAGCAATGGCGGTGAGGCCTCAGCTCGGCCCGCCAAGCCTCCCCCCTCCCCCAGCGGCAGCAAGGCCTGGCCAGCCCGCCAAGTTTTCCCTCCCCACGCGGCGGCTGAGTGGCTCACAGCCGCCAGCCCGCCAAGCCTTTGACTTCCTCCTCCAAGCGGCGGTGGCAAGGCAGTTCACAGAGCATTCCCTGCCCATGGGCAGGGAACGCTCTTTTACTTTTGGGGGGATTTAAATATCCCCCCGATATTTTTTTCTACTTTTTAGATTTTTGTGCACACCTGGGGACTGCCCCCCATGTGCCCCCCATGTGCGGATTTAGATATCCGCACGCAGGGGGCGCCTTCGCTATTAGATGCTATTATATAGATGGGGTAGCAGCTTGATTTTGTTTGTATTTTTATGATCCCATATTTAGTTGGAAGTTGAAGTCATGGATTAGTATATTGCTGCTAAGCATCTTTGAAAACATTAGAGGTGTTTCTCTGTTATAACGTCCAAACAAATAACTTGTATAATTCTTGTATTTTACTGTTCTGAAATAATTCTGGGCAGTTTTAGCAAATGGGCATCTTCATTCCCTGCAGTGGTAAGTTGTGTTTTCCCATAAATTCAGTTGATATAAATTTTGCCATTTCATTCTCACATCAGATTGTTTAGAAGCAGAAAGAACACCTCAAAAACATCCCAAACACATTATATGTTACATACAAATACATAGGCTTGAACAGAAGAAGTCAAGATATTGTGTTTCTTTCAAATTATTCTGTCTGCTGCCTTCAGCCATGCTTATCTTTCATCATCTGGAAACCTCAACTTGTGCCTAATAAATTAATCCAAACGATGTCAGTTTTACAGTTGGAAAAAAAATAGCTGTAAACACACCATATTGCTCACGGTCAAGTAAATACAGTATTTTTTACTTTAATACTATAAAGCTGTTGTCTTTTTTCTTCCCTCCCTCATCAGATTCTGTGCTGAAATCTGATCACTGCTTATGCTGGGAGGGGTGTGAGCATGAGGGGAGGGAACAGCCAGTGAGAGCGAGAGACGCAGCAAGTGTGGAGCTTGCTGCCTTTTAGACAAAGCAGTCTGCTGCAGCTCTCTGAAAAGGATACATGCTTGTTTGGAAGAAGACCACAGTCGTTTGCCTGCTTATGGAGTGGAACGGAATTTGTCTGGAGCCAGGAAAGAAGCTCTGGCCAAGCAAACAAGAGTCAGCTGCTTGAATTCTGGGAATAGATGCTGTCCCTTTGCCCAGGCTTTGTCAGGAAAGGGAGGAGGAAACCTTTTGTGAGCGCTGCATCCCTGGTGCTGCAGTGTGCATTAAGAAGGTTGGCCAGCTCTCTAGCACTCATTAACTGTGACTTGCTTAACAGAAGATCTCTTATGCAGACCAGTGTAGCCGGCTCTCTAACCTTACAGTTGTTCGGATAATAGCCAGCACTGCATTGTTTAGGCTTTAAAGCAAGGAAGGGGTGGGAGCTGTTTTAAGAATGTGCAGAACTTCAGATAACCACAGGGTTGAAAGGCTGCAACCCTGGTGTCTTGTTCATCAATATTTTGCAAATGCCCTTCAAAGACGGACATGGTAGGAAGCTTGAGAAAATTCTGCATGACTTGCGTAGTGATTTCTCTGAGGACTGAAAGGATGTGGGCTCGGAACTTTCCTTGCTACATCAAATGTCTCCAGTTTTGCACAAGGAAAGTAACAACTTCCTAGACTCACCTCTTAAGTGTAGAGGAAAGAAGAACTATTCCATGTAGCTTCTACGTGATCCTTGAAGAATTTGTCTCTGATTAACTGTTTGAAAAGAAGGACCAGGACCTGTCTAATCCTACCTGCTGCAGAGAAAGGGGGAAGGGGGTGTGTTCATCATACTTGGTTTTTTCTGAAAGCAAGGAATCAAGTGCTTTGTTCTGAGTGCTGCTTATTATCTGAGTGAGAAATCTGGAGATATTACTTGCCTTTAGTCAAAGGAAATGAAGGACTGGCTAATACAAATCGACAAACAACTGGCAGGAGCAGACGAGTTGGGTGGAAAATGAATTGACTAATCTTTTTGTTCTGTTGGGATCTCTGGTATAGTTATTTGCTCTGGTCTAGATGTTGATGGTGTTCACCAGCCCAGTTCAGTCAACACAGGCTGTCAGGATGTTATGCATCTGGATAGGTGGTAAAATGACGGCAGGACTTCTAAGCTCAGGCTTGTTGTCACTCATGCCTCCACACCTTATAATGAAATAACAAAGAAAAGCCCTTATCATGGTTTGCCTGTTTCGGGACTGTTTGGGGAAAAAAAGTATACATTTTTATTCTTCTACTGCAGTTTGTGTGTGCTTTTTTTTTATTTGTCTTGCATGTCTTCCTTTGGACAGCTGTTCACTAATCTGGCTGCTGCTGCTTTTCTGAACACCCATCGTGTCTGTTTGTCTCTCTCAGCTGCATGAAGATGTATTTTCTCTCTAACTGCTTTGCACCTCCAGTGCTAACTGCCTTCCTTACTGGCCTTTTGTACAAGGTAATGCATCAGAAGTTGCATGGATGCAAGCATCTGCTGGGCTGTGTGTATTTGTGAGCTGGCCCTCTTGTCTCTTATGCCTGTAGCTCTGCCTTGGAAAGTTTGCAGCCCCTCAGATGAAACAAGGAGCTGAACAGGATTTTTCTGAGGTTTGGGCTGCTTATGCCTGGCAAGGAACAAACTTGTGCCAAGAAATCAATGCATGTGGTACCTTGGCCCCAGGAATTGTTCTAAACAGTTTGGATTCAGAGTTTAACTGGGATACCGATTAACACTCTAGTTTTGTGAACAGGACAGAAGCTTATTGTCCATGATTTGTGTGCTGAAGAGGAGCTGTCTGTCGGCTAATTGTTATATTTTGGCCGTGGTTTGGCTTCCTTATAGTAATGACTATGATGTGGCAATGCCACTTCTCTTCCTCAGAGTGCCGCTGCTACCGCCTTAATAGGTTTTCCTTTTTCAAGCGTCTGCCGATTCCTCTCTCGTCAGGTTCACGGATGCTGGAGCAGAGCGTTGGGGAGTGGCTGGAGTCCATTGGCTTGCAGCAGTATGAGAGTAAACTGCTTCTCAATGGCTTTGATGATGTCCAGTTCCTGGTAAGTAATCAAGCTGGCATCTGTCAAAAGGTTTTTGGGGGAGTTTGTAAATTTAATCTTTTTTTAAAAACTCAGACTCGTAAAATATATGGAACACAATCTATGCTCCTGAGGATACATCTTCAAACTATTTGGTTCTCTGTTCAAGCAGCTTGTGCTGTGCCATCTAATCCAACTAAGAAAGTGAAAGGCAAGGCTGAATTCTTCTGATGATCTGGATGAGTTCAATTGCTGCACATGAATTCATTCGTTTAAGTTCCCTTTTTCCTGTGAATTCATTGAAGTCTCAGGCTAACGCAAAGATGCCATGAAAGGTATTCTTGAGAGTAAAATTAGCAGTATTTTGATTCTTGGGATCAAGTGAATTAGAATGAACTGGAAAGTTGTATGATTAGTGTTGCATGAATGTGACAGGAAAAACCCTTTTTGTTTCTGTTCACAGTTAACTCTTTGACCATTTTCAGCTACCTGAAAGTTAGTGATGACAGTATTGGAATTATTATATTTTAGAAATGTTTATTTGTTGGGAAATACTTGAATATATTTGATATTTTAATTGCAGTTCTTCAGATTATTTAAATTGTATTCTATGAGCTATCCCAACAGAAGAAAATGCCAGTGGTTTATCATCACTATCTTTCCCATATTTTATACCAAACAATACAATTATTTTCTCTAGTTGAAGTGTGCTTTCATTACCACTGCTTAATGTCTAGAAACAGGACAGGTCAGAATAGAACAATAGGCTCTGGTTATCTTTGTTAAAACACTATACAGGAATCATAAGAACATAAGAGAAGCCAATATTGGATCAGGCCAATGGCCCATCCAGTCCAATACTCTGTAGCACAGTGGCCAAAAATACCAGGTTTCATCAGGAGTCCACCAGTGGGGTCAGGACACTAGAAGCTCTCCCACTGCCCCCCCCCCCGAGCACCAAGAATACTTGCCCCCAGACCGAGAGTTTGTATCTATACCTTGTGGCTAATAGCCACTGGTGGACCTCTGCTCCATATGTTTATCCAATTCCCTCTTGAAGCTGTCCGTTCTTGTAGCCGCCACCGCCTCCTGTGGCAGTGAATTCCGTGTGTGATCATCTCCTGGCTTTGGCATTCATGTCACTTGGCCTCTTAAAGCTCAGCATTGTTATGTGCAATCAGTGCAGTTGAACACCATTTGTCTCTGTCAGCACTTAGCTAAATTATGCTTAGTCATTCAGTAGTGCTAGGAAGGAATAGAGGAAGATCCTTATTGAGTAGAGATAGTTGCCTTTAAAGTTCCTTGAAGAAGTGGGTCTATAAAAACGTCAAGGCTTCATCATCCTTAGTTGATGGATTATTGCCATCAGTTCCATCACATTGGAGAAGGAAAGCTGGCATTTTGAAATCCTGAACTGCCCTATGCTTTTAGTCAAACTCATCTTCCTAGTGGCAAATGGAAATACTTTGGGTTGCTTATAGCAGTGGCTCCCAACATTTTTGGTATATGACCTACAAATCCAAACTTACTTGGCATGGTGACCCATCCAGAGATGGCCCAAGGTCCTGGGGTTTTTTTGTGCCCTAAGTGAACTATTTATTTATTTATTTATTCTTTAGATTTGTATCCCGCCCTCCCCGAAGGCTCAGGGCGGCTAGTAAGGGCATAAATGCCTAATCAAACAATAAGAACAGTATGACCTTGGCACACATCTAGTTTATCATTCCATTTTCTACAGCAGATAACCAGATGTTTTTCAGAAACCAATCAACATAGCACAATGGATGCAGCTGTCCTCTCTGTAAACCCCAAGCAAGTGGCATTCTGACATACACAACCTTTGCACATGATGGTTACATTCCAGCCTTTGACCACCCTCTCTTGCTTATTTCCTCTAGTCTCCCCTAGGTTCTAAGAAACTTGCTCTAGTAACTACCAGGACGTGTTTTACTTGAACAACATGTATAAGCAGTGAAGAAAAAAGTACCAACTAATGTATGACAAGGAAGATACTGCTTACAGGATCAGATCTTGGTTTCCAAAATACAAAAGAGAGCAATGGAAAGGGCATTAGGGAGCCATTAGGGAGAGCTGGTATGCAGCCCACTTTCAGAGGCTTCGCAGCCCTTTCAGGTCCCATCCCACAGGCTGGGAAACACTGACTTAGAGAAAAAAAAGAAGATGCTTTGAGTAATCTAGAGAAGGGAGAACTGTGTATGTCGTCTGACCTTCTTGGAGAAAATGTAAGGCACTAGATAAATGTGCGCTAGATTTCTGAGTGCTACATGCGGTTTCAAGATACAGATTTCAGATACACCAAATCAGTGAAATTATTCTGAAATGAAGGCAATGAAAGTTGTACTGCCGAAACAAAGTGGGCTTTCATCTTTTTATAGGAGAACACTGCATTAGTGCTGTGACCAGTTAAGAGAACAACCTCATTCTTAACTGATCAATTTAAAGACCTGCTGAGTTTTCCAGTTGATTTTGTTTAATGTTTATGAGCAAGTAGTTCAGGATCTTTTGATGATACTTTCGGTAGTCACTTGAACATCAAGTATTATATTTACAGAGATATGCTTGGATTAATTCTTTGGAAACGTATATTGCGTTCTCTTTATTCAACAAGATGGAGTTTGACTGATCTGTGTGCATTGAATGATTAACCAATAATATCAAATCATGTGCCATGTTGCCAGTATCTCCTAATTTATCACTCAGCCTGCTCTGGTGCAATAGTTCTGAAATGCCTCTAATAATATACCAAGACCCATCAGTGATCTAGTTAGGACAGCATTATCTGCATAGAGTAACCACAGGATTTGGCTGGTAGCTAGAACAGGGGCCCAGTATCTCTGCTGCTTTGGGGGATTTACAATTCAGTGAGATTAAGCAAGGCTGTCTTTACATTATAGTCTCTGTTCATCAAACAACATGTCTTTATTGGGACTCATGTAGTTGTGATGGTTATCCCTTCTGAATTTCTGGGGAAACTGGATATATTCTTATTTAAAATACATATTGAAGAGCAGAAGAATGAAATCTAGTGAATAATCATTTTTTTCCTGACGCATTTTTTCAGTGAGCAGTAGTCATTACTCTGCCAAACCCAGAAGTGTCTGAGTTAATATATTATATCTTTATATATTATATATTTAAAGTATATCTTGCTACTTTAGTTTCCTGATTGCCTCAGTGAAAAATAATTTTCACCATCTTTTTGGATAGCTTGTCTAAAAGCATGTTTTGTTCTATGCATGTGCTAATGAATTCTAGTGGGCATAAATGCAAATGAAACTTTTTAATAAAACAGCCAAAGCAGTACCCACTGTTAAGGCAATGATGGACTTAAAATTCTACCAGTTAATGTGCTACTTCCTAGTCTGCTACAGATGAAAGTGATATATTATATTGCTATATCAGAGTACCATAATGGTTTTGTTAGAGTCTTCCAAAGTAGCTTCCTTCTACATTTGCCTTTTTAAGCATAGTTTCAGAAGGTAGCCATGTTGGTCTGGTCTGCAGTAGTAGTTTGGAGTCCAAGAGCACTTTAGGGAGACCAACAAGATTTTCAGGGTATGAGCTTTTGAGAGTCAAAGGTCCCTTCTTCAGATACCTGAAAAAGGGAGCTTTGACTCTTGAAAGCTCTCATACTCTGAAAATCTTGTTGGTCTCCCTGAGATGCTACTGGACTCCAGTCTCTAGCTCTTTAAAAATATTTCTGAAGGAGACAGTTGTGCATCTGATTTTTTTTAAAGGCATATTCTTATACAGTGTATAAACATTAGAAAAAGTAGTTGTGTATATAATGCTAAGAATGGCACGACAGGTGTACATTTTGTTCCTCGTAGCTACACTGAGAACCATGTACTGGTGTGGAACTGTTTGTAAATTTTTATTGCAAAAGAATGAATTTCAGGAGATTGAAAAGTAATGTGGAAATCTTCCTTAAATCCCTGACAGTCCCAGTTAAGATCTGTGTGTATATGTTATGTATGTATGTTGCCTCTGTTAGCCGCCCTAAGCCTTCGGGGAGGGCGGGATACAAATTCAAAGAAATAAATAAAATAAATGCTGTTCTTCCTTGCCCAAAATTGGGGTATATGTCCAAGCAGGAGAGATCACTACAAATATTAGAAGCAAGTTATATACCAGCTTAAGTTCTAGCAGTGGGATGGTCCAGACCTTCCACTGTGAATGGAGTTCCTAAAAAGAATTAGATCAAGTTGCTACTTTGAACCAGCTTGAGCAGAATGCTCTGGAAAGTTAGGAGAAAAGTATAAAGTGGTATTTCCCAGTCCATTCATTGAAAGCTATCATAATTCATAGTTAATTTTAATTATGCATTTATTGTCTCAGTAGGAGACAATTAGCTGTGATACTTTGGCCAAGTTTTTTGCTGATAAAATATCAAGAGTGTGCCTTGATCTCAATGTCAGGTGTCAACACCTGCAGAAAAGCCAAATACACCACCTGATCTGTTTATGGATCATTTCAACCCAGTTTCTGTAATGGATGTTGACAAGATCCTGGGGTCTGTAAAGGCCACTACTTGTACCACATCAGCAAACCCTTAGTATCTATTGTAAATCAATCACTAACTCAGGGCACCTTCCTTGGCCACTCAAAGACACAGTTGTTCATAAACCCTGAAAGGGCAAAGGTAATGCTGGTTGGGAAAGCAGAGATCTTGAAGGACATTGTGCTCTGCACTTTTGTTGAGGTTCAGCTGACCCTTGCTGATTCGGTTAACAGCACTTGGGGCTATACTGGATCCAATGTTACTGCTAGAGAAGGAAGTTAATGCAGCTGCAAAAGAAGGCTTTCTCCCAACTTGGCCAAGCCTGAAAGATGTCCCCTTACTTTGATACAGCTGATCTGGCCACCTGGATCCATGCCACAGTAATATCGAGACTAGAGTACTGTAATGCACTCTACATTGGTCTCCCCAAAAAATCAATTCAGAAACTCCAACTGATGCAAAACACTGCGGCTCAGCTATCATTGAGAGCTAGACAGAG